TGTAGCCACGAAAGCAAGATTGACTGATAGAATACTTATATACTTTTATTTGTAAATACATACATATTATACATGGAGAACACCCAAACTCCAAAACAAATATTTGCAATCTCAGCACGTACGTACTTGTATATACACAATTTATGTTTATATTATATAGTTATATTTTCAACATATTTTAATCCAAACTAATATAATATACAGAGGTGTCGGTAACGGTAACAGTGTTGCGAGTTCAATCGTTTTTTTTCCATTTCAAAAAATACCTTATTTTGTTTGTTGTTCAAAAATGCCCCAACGCGCCTAAAGAAGTATTCACTTCAAAAGTATTTACTTAAAACAACTACAGTCGAAATGAGAACCCCCCTTTTTTAAGTCGGTTAAAAATGAAATCCAAATACTTCTATCTGGATATATCACTATATTATATTTATGTCCGGGTTTACACAAATAACGGTAATTTCAATTTTGTGCCTATTTAAACCAACCAAATAAATTTTATAGTCGTAAGTGAATAAGCCTGCAGACTTATTAACATCCGAATACAATTAGTCTTATATCAATACTGTAATTATACTTAAAAAAAACAAATATTGGTATTTTATTAGTAAGGTTATGAATAATTATTATCTTCCTATTAAAAGTGAATATTTTGGTTAGTACTTCTTTGCCATACAACGCCATCTAGTGTGGCCGTACCAAGATTGTTGGAAACACTTTTTTTGAGCTTTACTATTTTACGTCAAAATTTCAAAAATATTTCAGCAGTTTTGATACATAGTGTAAAGTTAAATGAAAGTTATATTGCACTTTTTTTTTCTTTTTTTTTCCGTGCGGAAATCCCCTCGGATACCACCTGTCGGTGGCATGTCGGACTAAAACCGCACGCCGTCTCGGGTACTAATAGCCGGGGAACCAGGTATACCCTAGAAAGGAAGTCCCTTGTGCAAAGTTATATTGCACTTACTTCATCTTTAAAATTCTTTTTGTGATACAAATAGCATCAGTAACGCCATCTACACTGTAAATAGAAGACTATAAAGAACCGTTTTTATAGCTTGAAGACGCGCCAACTATTTTAGCAGGCGGTCCGAGGTAAATTGTAAATGTTTAAATAAATAGTTTTGATGACAGTAAGTCTGCAAATAATGCAGAGATTTAAGGAATTCCATTTAACAGATTCCAACATTTATTAAGATTTTACTAAATTTATTTGTTGAAAATAAATTTGTAAATGTTTTCTTAGAAATAATAGCACTTGCAAACTACTGGAAACAACTATTTTTGTACATGGTGAATTGTTACCTAAATCCAAGTCATTCTCTTCTGTACTATACCATTAAGTAACGAACTGTAAAGTTCATTTTATAAATGGAATAATATATACAAAGAACTTTTTCAATAGCTTACTAATAACATAAATGGTTTCAGAAGTATACACGAGGGGGGGGGGGGGGGAGTATGGCATGGCTAGTGAGAATGGTCAGTGTAAAATAAAACTTAGAAAGCATTTGAAATTGTCTACTATACTTTACGGTATTCTTCTAGAAACGGCGAAATCAATAAATAGTAGATCATGATGATATTGAAGAAACAAACCCATTGTTTACAACATTCAAATGAAGGGAAGGCTGTATCAGTAGTAGGTTAGGTGAAGGGTGGAAGTTTGTATGGGGAATTAATAATCACTAAAGATAGTTTAATTCTTGATTACGGGCATAGGCTACTTTTTACCGTGATAACCGACATAAACGCAAGCGGAGCTTCGGGCAAAAGCTGGTATATAAATAAAAATATGAGTATGTAAGCGTGAGGTTACACTTGATAGGCCTGAAAATTATGATTTTCGAGCAATGAATTTATTCATACTGAAGTGCACTAAACTACGTTTCATAATTCATTGTATATTTGAATTTGCTGAATGTAGGTATTACAAAGGTTCCTTTTACTTTCGATTCGAAAAAAAAGAAAGAAAGAACGATTCCTTTTCCACTGAAAGCAAAACTCATACTTGTTATGAATAATTTTATAAAAAACCTGAGATTATATCACATAAATAGTTACAAAGTGTGATTATATATTATATATGTAATTACATATACTTTTTTCTTTAAAAAAGAACTCTAACTCTATTAGGAATATATCCTGTGGCGCAGGGGACTTTACAAACATATATCAAAACGGACATAAAAGAACACCCAGACTCAGAACGACAATTTGTGGATCACACAAAGTGTAGTCCGATGTGGGGATTGGACCTACAACACTCAGTGTAGTAGTAAGCGGCGTGTCGACCGTCTAAACCACTACACCATCTGTGCAGTCATATGATCATACATATGTCATATCTGATTACATATATAATCACATATGTGAATATATGGCACTGGCAACTATAATTATGGTGTTTCCACAGGAATTTTTAATTCTCTTTGAGAAACATAAGTCAGGGCTGTCAGATTTTATTATAAGAACTTACTTAGGGACAAAGACAATATGTAGTCAAATTATTAGAATGTATCACTAAATTTCAATATACATTTCAAATAAACCTAATAGAGGTAAAGAAAAAGAGAGAAACCTTAAGATAGTGAGGTCCTTTGTATTCCTATAATTATTGCAATATATTCAATTAGAACATTAAACAATAGTAGAACAGTGGGTAGCCTTTTCACAGTCTATGATCTCTTACATGATACAGATATCTATTCTAGGTCTTATTAACACTTGAATGTAAAATAAAATTTCAATATATACATACACACACATACATACTCAAACATAACACATTTATAAAAGAGATATGTATTGATCCTTAGCTAGGTTTAAAACATATCAACTTTTTTTTAAAATACAATGTATTAGGAACATATCCTGTGACACGGGGGACTTTACACACATACATGAAAGGGACACAAAGAACACCCAGACTCAGAATAACAATTTGTCGATCACACAAAGTGTCGTCCCATGATGGGATCGGACCCACAACACACTGAGTAGTAGTAAGCGGCACGTTGACTGCTTAAACCACTATGCTGTCTGTTAAACTCACCGTGCCTACTATGAGGGACATGAATTAAAAGCATGCACCATAAAATTGTACATGATCATTTTTTAATTCATTACATTAGTCACAATTCTCAAAGCTGCAATAAATAACACCACATAATAATATATGCTGTACGACCATAATCACACTTAAAAAAGTAAGAAACCCATACCTATGAATTGATAAAAATATATGCTTTAATTAACAGTAATTACATAAAGACCTAGATCAAATATACACAAAGACATTTAACCAAAAAATTTCTGATTGTATTGCAATACCAAGACAAACAGTGTTAAGTTTTAAATTTGAATTATAATTAAAAAAAGAGCGAGATAATAATTGCTACTACCGTACTAACACATGGCAAAATGTGTGCACAAAATACTGTGAGGTCTGAATACAAGGCCTATAACAACATCTATACTTCAATGGTCAACAAATATGTAACATGATCCATAATTATGACATACACACAATACAATTTAAAAATGATAACACGCTAAAGGGTTGTTGTGAGTTATAATAAACTCGAGATATTTGGAGTGAGTGAAAATGTTATAATTCTCCATATTGCCTTGACGTCACATAGAAATACATAACAACTGTAAATGAAATTATGTGAATTTAATGTATGTACATGTGATTATTACAATAACATTAAAAGTTTAAAAAATCTATAAAAATCAAACTTCAAGGTCGAAATCCCAATAATTTGACAATCTTAGAAATCTAGATTTACCTACTTACCTATTTTTGTTGTGTTCACCAAATTAAATTGTCATCACTACACATTAGATATAGGTATATTGAAAAAGAAAATAGTACAAATTATTGAGCATGGTCTTAAAAATAGAAATTAAAAACAAAAGAAGTGGAAACAGCTATAGGGAAGGGGTAATATTATGTTGTACGGATTGTCAAGAATGTCAGAAAATTGAGAAAATGTCATCTCAAATTGTCAATGTTCACAAATTCATAGACAATTTATTTTTTGCTCTGATCAAATTGTCATATAGATGTATCATTATTTGCTTACTTTTTTATTATTTTATGATAAAAATATGTTATATTTATGATAAATGCTAATATGGTATCAATTTTATGTGCAGTCAATAGGATACATTGAGTAGTACATGTAAATAATTATTTGCTCAGTCCTCAATGAATTAAAACTCTTAAATGGTTGTCGCACCAACGTTCGGTTAGCCGTCTATCGTTGCGGTTGGCTCAAGACTGCACGCACTTGAAACCACACGGTCAGCTGCAGACGCTGCTTCTCGAACCAGTCCAATATTTCTATAAGCACTAACAATTGCGTCGTAATGAAATAGACGATTTGGTCACGGCATACCGCATAACGACTAACCGCTTGTGTGTTCTAGGTTTAACACATGAAATAGGGCATAACTACACTGATAAATAATGTTGTAAAACGATTAAAGATTTTAAGAATCAAGTTTACTTAACTTACTAAGCTTGAATGATCAAATTTTCCTACCTAAACAAACTTCTGCCAATGTCTACTCATATCTTAAAATCTTTCAAGTACGCAGTTAAAATCATAGGTAAATAAGAAATTCATCTTGTATATATCTTTTCCACCAGAATAAAAAGTCCAATTATCTACCAAAGCATAGCAGGTATAATAAAAGTTTATCAAATAATTAAGTGAAAATAAAATTGACCTATACTCGTATAGGAGAGAAGATTATCTACAAAAAATAGTAAAATTTAAGGCAAGATAATCAATAATAATTTTCCACACTAATTTTTTCGTTCTTAAATAATTCTACTCTACCATTTTTGAACGATCCTGAAAAGTAACCTCGAAAACAAAATTTTACCTATTGACATTGTTTTCTTCCACTGAAAAATGTTAGGAATTATCTTAAAGTAGGTAATAATTATATATTAACGTGTTTAGTGCCAACATTGTGTATTCAGAATGGCGGATGAAGAAATCAATGGCGATACAGATGATATTCAGCATGACAAAGATAAAACTCAAAAGAAAACTGCTAAACACGATAGTGGTGTAGCAGATTTAGAGAAGGTCACCGATTATGCTGAAGAGAAGGAGATATCTTCACAAGACATATCTGGGGTAACTTAAATTAAAATGATTTTAGATTAAGTAAATACAGTTGCATTAGCTTATAGCTAAATTATTCCCAAGTGTGTATGGTGTATGGTGGACATGAGCGCTAATGCACAGCATCATACTAACCTTAACTTACCCAGTTGATCTTTTTAATGTTCGATCAGGGATTGGTAACTGTCATTTACATTGCAAGAAGTTTTTAATAGTACTATTTCAATAATTTACAAATATATGGTTGAAGGCAGAACTTTGCCCCTATTTAATTACATAGAATCTGTGTCATAATGTAGAAAAATGATATAATGTTTTAAAAATATTTTCAGGCATTATCGTTAATTGGCGATAGAAGAAATAAGGAGACCGCTGAGCGTCTTGAAAAAGAACAGGAGCTTCAAAAAGTTTTAGTCAAAAAGGATGATATAGAGTTAATTGTGAGTTCATATGATTATCACTAAAATGGCAACACAGCACTGTTTTATTTTTTCTATGTATGTGTCTAGAAGGAGCAGACAAGCAGAAGGGTCATCCGATAGAAAGTGAACATCTGCAACTCAGTAGTCACAAACACATTATGCATATGATTTTTGTGCCCTCTTTCAAACTTAAAAATAGATAAAAAAAAATGGTATTATTATGAGATATCAGAAAAGTTATAAATAGAACACACAAAATAACATTTTAATGGATGATTTTTATTGATATTACTAGAGCTATTGATATAACAGAACTGCCAATTTAATAATATTACTTCAGTTTTTTTAATACTTAGGAACGTTTTTACTTTCCTGTTTGTTTATCATTAACATAAATTAGTTTCATTTTTGATGCAAGACCTTCAAGGTTAGTTACCATGTGTATTATGCTATTGTTATTATGCTCAGACAAGTTTGGGTATTCAATTAATGTAACAATACAACACAATATAGAGGTAAATGTTTTGGTGAGGTAACCATTCTATGTGATCAGTTTATGGGGGGGGGTTCCATTTTCTTTTTTTAATTGCTCTCCTACAATTCATAATATATTCCTTAAAATACCACTGTCTTTTGCACTTTAATATAATTGCAAGCAGTCATGGTTACTCAATAAATATTATATTATTAAAGATAGGTTAGCACCACATTAATACTGAAAAAAATTATATATTTTCAATAGTATCATACAATAACTTTTTAGTTTCTAAGTACATAATAATATGATAATGACAGTTCTATTTCTACCAGGTGAAAGAAATGGAGATATCAAGAATATTAGCCGAAAGAACATTACGGGAACACAGAGGTGATGTGGTAGCAGCACTTACTACTTTAACAAACTAATTAAATTTGTGAAATTATCTTAATTGTCATAAAAAAAAATGGAATAGATATTTCTATCCTAAGAAACAATTAATTTTATTTTATTTGAGTGATTTTTCATCTCGTAAAAATTATCAACACATTCTTTGTACCTGAAGAAAATTGTTTGAACCCCATTTTCAATAACTGAAGTAAATATATCGGAAACATATTATATTTGGAATACTTAACGTTTAAATGTATACATGCAGGACAACAGCACTCCAAAGAGAAGGAAAACTTAAAATAAACCCTTTTTTTTTTTTTCAACGTGTGGAAATCCCCTCGGACCGTCACCCCACCGGGGTTTGCGGCGGGGTGGTGTGTCGGACTCGGACCGACTAAAACCACACGGTGTGCCACTCTGCGCCTGTAACAGGAGGGATCCGGGAACAGCTGTTATTAAGACATCCGGACCCCTCCTAGCGCCAGCTTGCTCCTGGTGCGGGCTCCGTCTCAAAATTTTTAGCTTTTACTTTAGGCGACGTCCGGCACACGCGGACGCCGCCCCCTGGCGGCTGGCCAAACTAATGCGGGTGGAGGGGAAACCCACCCCGTCCACCCGCGGCCACACTCAGGGCGGCATGAGGCGGTGATAGGCGCGCCTCCGCCGCCCGGTTCGCCGGCAGCGGATCGGGTCCGTCTGTGGAGGTCGTCCTCCCGGGCCTCCTCCGCCGCCTCCTTCTGCGAGATTACTTCCTCGCAGAAGGTTGCGACCGCGGTAAAACAACTGTCGCTACCGGCCATGGAGCGTACTACGGCCGGTAGCGAGAGATCCACTCCGATGACTGCAGTGAGGGCCCGGCGCTGCGTCGCCCATGCGGGGCAGACCGCCAGCGTGTGCTGGGCCGAGTCCTCACTGCAGTCGCAGTGGTGGCAGGCGGGACTCAGTTCCCTCCTAGCGACCGAGTGCAGGTACTTTCCGAAGCAACCGTGCCCGGAAAGCACCTGCGTCAGCCGGAAGGTAAGGGTCCCGTGCTGCCGCCCTGCCCACTCGGCGATGACCGGCTGGAGAGCCTCCACGACGGCGAAGCCAGCGCGTGGAGTCTCCAGCCGGAACGACCAACGAGCCATCGTGGCTCGGCGAGCGGCTTCGCGCCACTCGCGCACATCCTCGGGCGGAGGGCGAAATCCGCTCTCCGCCCGGGAGTCAGCCACTCGCCGATAAACTTCGACGAGCACTTCCGCCTCAAAATCCCACGGGGGAGTTCCGGCCAACGCGCACGCCACCTCCGTCGACACGGTGCGGTAACCGCGTATGGCTCTGACCGCCATTACCTTCTGAGGGCGCCAGAGGCGTGCCCTATTCTGGGCGGTCAGAGCCGCCGCCCACACCGGTGCACCGTATAGTGCCATTGACCGGACAACCCCCGTGTACAGCCGTCTTGTCGCGACGCTGGGTCCACCCAAATTGGGCAAAAGTTGCCCTAGGGCAGACGCAGCGCCGACCAGCTTTGGAGCAAGCTGTCGGAAGTGCTCGTCGAAGAGCCACCTCCCGTCGAGGATCAGGCCCAGATATTTCATCTGGGCCCGAACCGGTACGAGGACCGAGTTGACCACGATTGAGGCGCCAGGGGGTGGACCACGATGGGGCCCATGAAATAACAGGGCCTCCGTCTTATCTAGGGCCACCCGTAAGCCCAGCGCCTCAATGCGCCCGACCACCAGGGAGACTCCCCTTGTGGCCAGGCGCGCCGCCTCGAAGGGCCCAGTCGTACCCTATGTTCCACAAGAGGGGTCCAAGAACAGACCCCTGTGGAACACCGCACGACATGGGCCGACACCTCAAATTATCCTCTCGGTCCTCGTACACGACGGTACGCTCCTCTAAATAGTCTGCCACTAGCCGCCTCAGGTACTTTGGCACCCCATGATAGTGTAGTGCTTCCCTGATGCAGCTGAATGGCAGACTAGTGAATGCGTTGGCGATGTCCAATGACACCGCCAACAGCACGCCGCCACAGCTCACGGCCGTCCGAAATTGCGTCCGACAGATCGGGGCCCACCTCGTAGAGGTGCCGGACGATGCGGGCAGAGAAAACCCTCTCAAACCCTATACCAACCTAGCTTGGTATAGTAGGCCAAAACCTCCTTTCTAAGGAAAGGCTTATGTCCAGCAGCATACTATTAAAGGTTGTTGATGAATGTTATAGTTGATAATGTATGTAGGACTGCAGAAGTCGTAATGTTATTTAAATAATATATGTCATCAAATTATCACTTTAAAAATTATGTGAAGAGGCCATGTAAAATTAAATGGGTCCGGTATATTTTGACCTGACAGTATATAAAAGTGTATACAATGACAATACGAGTTATACATTTTACCGCGATAACCGACACACGCGTGCGGAGCCGCGGGCAAAAGCTGGTAAGTAAAATTAAAAAAATGTGGATATCACAGCAAACACAAATTTTAATTTTGGCATCATATAAAACTACCAAATTATAAGGGTACATACTGCATAAATACAAAAAACTTATTCCGTCAGTCAAAAATACGAGTTTCAAGATACCGATTTTCATCATTCTGAATGGTTCAAAATTCCTAATATGTGTAACAACATTTTTAATATTAAAAAAATCAATATTCCTTACGTCTACAATAACTATGCTCGAAATACCGAATACTGCAGTAGATCGAATAACAAAAAGTTCGTTTAATAATAATTCGAAACATAAAAAAAATCGAATAAAAATATGTCGTTTTACTAGTCACAGTTTTAACCTAACCCAAATGATTCACCAACAATACAGGGGACCTGGCGTTAATCACCACTGTTTTAACATAAGCAAACCAAATAAAATCAATAACATTAGATGTTATATTATGTATATTTAAGAAGAAAACAAAAAAAATATATTAATAAGCATACAAATATTAATAACAAAGTAGACGTTTTTAAATTATATTAAACGTTACCTATAGATTTTGAATATATATGCGAAACTGAATATTATATTAACTGAATCTGAATCCTAATTTTAGGAGTTTATTCGAAGCATTGAAAATGGGAATGTTGATTTTCGGATCGAGAATCCATCGAGCATTTGATTCTTGAACGTATAAAAATCGCAAAACAAACAATTCGCATTTACTGACTTTCGGTAAAATAAATTTTGTGAATTTTAATAATAGACATAATACTTAGGTAATTGTATTATGAAATTCAATTTTTTTTAAATGGGTCCATTAAATTCGGAATGCAGTATTTCGTAGTATTCGGGTGTTCACAAGTTATAAGCTAAATAAAAAACACAGAATTGTTATGTAGTCTGTATTCAGTATCACATTTTAAGTACTAAATTATATTAGTTGTATTAACTTACATGTCCGGGCATTCTACATATTATATCACTCTTTAGGTGAGCATCTGACACCAACGCGGGAGATTGCTTTACTCCATGATAAATATCCCCCTCGGGCCCGAAGCTAGTTGGTCATTCCCAAAATATACATTATTTCGTCAGATTAGATATGCCTTTGAAGATATGTTATGTGTATGTGAATTCAAATTCGAGTTTGTTTTGTTAGAAATATGTATCACAGGTACCTATGATATTTAATTTTAAAGATGCATTATTTTTAATTTGTAAAGCTATGAACATCAGGAGAATGGTTTACACTATCCTTAAACTTAATTATAATAGCTCCAGCTCTGATCAGTGTACTTTAATTTTTCTATACCTTTGCGGCACTTGTACGCTGAAAATATTGGATATCTTTAGAACTAATGATATAGTATGAATATATATATAATAGTTGAGCACTATCTACCGAACTCTAAGAATAAAGAGCTACAAAATATGTAGGAGTCACACAGTATAACCAAAAATAACGTAAATTTGGGCAAATCCGTGACTTAAAAACTAAAGTGTTTTATCATTTTGAAACTGTCAACTTGAACTCTTAAAGTCTCAGATAACGCTAATATATCTTTAGAGAGAGGGCTTATATGACTGAAACTATAAGAGTACTTAACGTTAACAATGTTGATGGCATGTGTGGGTATTCCTAAAAATGTCAATATAAAAAAAAGTTGAAAATTCAGGACAATAAAATCGCATTTTTATACAAAAAAAAAATAATACTAAAATGTTTTTAATATGTTGACTTTTTCATTATTTACGATACCAGTCCTCCGATAAGGTCAGTAAGGTAAAAATATATTTGGTGATTACGTTATATAACTAATTTAAAAATATATTTACAGCACCAGATATAATGGTGTTATTTTGTTAAATAACGTAAAAAATTGTTGGTTGTTACTTAAGATTGGTGCCTTAAAATCATTTCACCTATAATTAATTTACACTTCACATTTACTTATTTATTTATCGCTAACAACAACTTGTCTAGATGTGTAGATATACTTCAAATGTGAACTAGATGGCGCTGGCGCTATGTGCTCATGAAATAATATAAGACATAATAATATATAATCCTAAAAAACTATATTCGCTGCAGTTTTCTAGTTTCTAATTATTTTTAATTGGTAAACCTAATATTAAAAGTAAATGATTTGGTAACAGCTTAGTGTGACGTCATAACTCATTATTCGAAATAACAATTTATACAAAACTAAACGAATCACTTTGACGTTGAATAAAGAGAAATTGAGGTCAAATGCGGTATCCTAATTTCGTTTCACACATAGTGGTAATACAATAAAAAATGCATCATAGTTAGGAGTTTTACAATCTCTGTCGTTCAGATTCTGCTTCCGGTTTTGATTCTCGATTACCTACTAGTTTCCTATTTCAGAAATTCTGTAATACAAAATACTGACCAGCTAATCACATATGAATAGCTGTGTTTTGAGTTTCATCTGCTTTTATGTCTGGTGTGTAAGGAGGAGGCGGTATACTGCTGTCGTGAATCTGAAATCACAACGTAACATTATATAGGACAACAGTACAAACACTCGGAAAACGTCCTATGTAGCAATTTTAGCACTTATTGTTGCAATTGATGGCGGGGCTTGTCAAAAAAATTCCAGTTTTTCCCTTCAGTCTCTTTCTGTTATTAGGTAAGTTATAGTAAAATTGTTTACTAGTGATGGAAATTATTGCTACCTTTACATCATACGCGTACGATGAAATTATCGGTTTTAGTCACTGCGATTTCACCTGTGATAAATCACTACTGGGATCTGGCCATAGACAGAGATAAATGCAATCAAAAAAGAGACTACGACTTTTATTTTTTATTTTTTTGACCTTTCGCGAGTCTGGCGCAGTGGTTTTTTATTAAAATTAGTCAGGTGGGATTATATGATTTATAACAGGTGATTGTGATATCATTCCATCCCTGGTTACTGCTGTTTGCCTGATATTGAAAGTTTTGTATGAAAGTGGAAAAGCAAAAGAGTACCTATAAAAAAAGCAGTTAGTGTTATGTTTTGCCAATAGATACTTACAAATCCTGCGTTTAGATACGAGATTGCTGGATATATCGCTGATCCAGCTGCTGGCACTCTGGAATAGCTGTTAAATAAATAGCTTTATTTATTGTTTTATCCAGTATATAATAATAAGTAGATATAAGCGCATTTTTTTAAAATTGGCTTAAACTCTGGTGGCGTTACTAAAATGATGTATATTTAGGGAATCATTTACAGTAGCATTAAATGTTAATTTTAAAAGTTTGAACCATGGTCAGTGTTACTCTATTCAACGGTAATAATTTGTGCGTCTGTTATGGATATCGCTATAACAAGTAACTTAGTAAAGGTGTATACCAGGTTTTAATTCTGTTTTACTACATTACTTTAAATTAGCCGAGTCACGATTGTGTCAATGCTTAATACTTGACTCTAACTGTGAACAGTCTGCTCATCATATTATCTGGGAATGTAGTATTTGGTATGTACAATGAACGTTATTTAATGCTGAATAGCTAGGTGACATCTGGAGCGGTATACTACGGGGATCTTGTGATCCACACCATTCGAATTCTATAATATGTTTGGCGATTCTACCATACATATTATAGAAATCGAATGGTGCTTCCCTGTTTAAAAGGATGTATGCCTATTTTTACATTATTTTTCTCTCCCGCTTTGCTAAGGACTGAAGTGAATTTATTATATTTCTAACTCCTCCAATTCTTCTGATTAATTTCATTGTAGGTTCCAAGACAGTTTATTTTTCTTCCTAGAGAAGTCCCTTCTCGAGTGTCTTATCTCGGTGTGTTCGTGGGTCACTGCTGTTGATCCCGGAGTACAGAACTTACAATTTTAAGAGTGTGGGAGGGATTAGTTCTGTTTAACTAACCGTTTCCGGTAAACCGTGGGCGGTGTGTCGCACAGAAATAGGAGGGATCCGGGAACTATTGTTATTAAAACCTCTGGACCACTCCTAGCCGCCATCCTATCCCCTACCGAAACCCCGTAACTACCCCTACTCTCTACTAGAGGTCCCCACTCTCTGGGGGCCCGTGGCTATTTTCAATCCGTAGTAGATATAATCATGTTTCTCACATGCGTTAATTCACATTTATATTTCGGATTTGACTAATTTTCAAGTTTTCCATCTCTTTGCGGTGCTGTTGTCCTGGATAATTTGTTCCTTTAGTCGGCTCTTACGACACCCAATGAATGAATTGGGCTAGTGACACTCTGTCTTCTTTATCCGTTACCACATGGAAAAAAGGCTATGGGTTTTTCAAAAAAAAAAGTTCAATTTTCAGATGCGTAGATGACGCGTGGTTATAAGCGGCCTGTTTCCAGGAGAGCTCAAAATTATTCGTAGTCATAGGTCATAGGTGTAGTATGTTATCGTTCGTATATAAAGTTTTACATTTTATGTCTATAAGTATATTGGTCAAAAAAATTATTACCTCGGTGGCGCGTCTCGTAATCTTTCATCAACGTATAATTGAAGGCTGCCTATTGATAGGCGACCTTCGTTGTTGTATGTACCTCCAGGCCTGTAAATAAAAGTTTTTTATTACATTTTTTCATTCTGAAACCTCCCTGGGCCGTCACTTATCTGAGACCAAACTGTAAGGTTATGTAACAGAGTTAAACCATAGACATATAAAAATAGAGAGAACGCGGGGTACAGCTGCCGAGAGAGATGGATGCCCGATATTTCCTTCTGTTTTTGTTTAGCTAAGCTGCGATTAGCTACTTATTAACCCCTCATATTCCCCAACCAAACAAAGGGCTCGACTAAAAAGAGATAGAGGGGACTAACAATTATCCATCTCTCTCGTTGCCTATAGATATTGCAAGATTGGGGTTCTTGTTACCTCTAGGTTATATCTTCCGGCCGTCACCTAACCGAGACCATACTGTAAGGTGGTATAACAGAGTTAAACCATAGATATACGAAAATAGAGTGAACACGGGGTACAGCTGCTACAGGCAGCTGTACCCCGTGTGTGGAAGCGATATAGGCAACGAGAGAGATGGATGCCGATATTTCCCTCTGTTTCTGTTTGGCTTAGCTGCGATTGGCTAGTTATTAACCCCCCATATTCTCCACAGAGCTCGCATGGGGTCCTATTTATCTTAAAATTTATTTTAAAATTGACATTACCGCCGCGAGCAAATGCTAGTGTATTATATGTGGAACTTAAGCTTTACTGTGAGAATTTTTTGATCGTATTAAGTTTTTCTAAAATACTATTTACTACTTACTACTAAGTATTTTAAATTAGGGCAAAAAAGGCGCGTTCAGTGCCTACGAACTAATAAACATAATAATTAAAAAGAATACATCATATTTCCTTAACTACTTAGAAAAGTCTATTACCTCAAGGTATTTGTGCTGCAAAGTTTATACAGCAGTACGAAGGTAGCTATGATCCCAAGAATGAGCGCCGCTCCCATCACCACCTGTGTGCTGGAAATCAGAAGAATTTGTTCTAGGGATTCCCTGGAAGTAATATATTTAAATAGCAATTATAGCATAAGCATATGAAGTATAGGCAAGAAAGTACTTATAGCATAAATGTGGCCAGCGATGGAAGGCAGAGAGCAGCATTGCCAGTTGTAGAAACAATTAATTGTTAATTAACAGTAAGTAAAAGTTGTTTAATGTTGAATTCACTTAAGTCCCTCACCGAATCCTAAACAAAGTTATGGACTTTTTAAATTTGTCTATACTAATAGACAAGTGTTAGACTTTTATCTAGTTCAACGCGCTATCGATCGGATTTGAACAATTATTATTTTTGGTTTTATAGCTTATATTTTAGGTTGGTTAGCACATTGCAAAATTAAGCAATTTTAGCCAGGCCAGTCTATGGATGGGTTACCATTCTTAACACATTGAGACCTCTGCGTGCCTTGGAGAAACGTTAAGCCGTCGGCCCTTGTTGCCATACAAACATTTGTGGCAATGTTCACGGATAGTCTGAGCCCTAAATAGTCCGACAACAGAACAGACAGAACTTCGATATAGTCTAGTAGGTACTTAGGTTATGAAGCGTAAAAAGTCTAAAATCAGTCGTGTTATGTTAGACTGAAAGCTGACCCGAACCAAGTTTGGAAAAAGGCTGGCTGATGAAAGCTTATATTTGAGAAAAAATATTATTATTATGATATTTGACATCACTCGATGGCTCCTGAAAGCCATATAATTAAGACAAACTAAGATAAACGGCTAGTTTCCATATTTTCTTAACGGTATTCTTTTTTATTTTCCAAAATCAAAGTACTTCATGAATCATGTTAGTCTTTATAACATCACTTTTGTTCCGGAATTAAGCAGCAACTAATAGGCGGACAGATAGAAAATTTAAAACTGTTGCGGTATCGGTTTAATTTTGTGTCTCTGCCCACCTTTGCGGGCAGTTATCCGTACTAATATTATTCATAAATGTTAAAGTGATTTTGTTTGCTTGTTTGTTAATGCAATATACTGTATATAGTAAACTGATTTTAAAAATTCTTTCATGGTACATTTTACCGCGATAATCGACATATACGCGGGCGGAGCTGCGTGCAAAAGACGACATAAAAAAATGCAATATCAGCATTTATAATAAGACTACTTAGTAGGGCGCAAATAAAATATTCGTGTTAAGATTGGCTTCATATTACCGCATGGGGTTTAAAGTCATTAGTCATTTGTCGCTTTGCATACATTATCCTATCCTATCTATCTGTTTAGATACACACAGAAATAGATTAGTAACATAGATATTAATTTAAAATAACAAAAAGAGATTTTGCTCACCTGCATGTCCATTGACCGTGAGCATCGTAGCACTGTTGACAAACACCCTGCCAGCATTGAATACTGCCATTTCCATATTTGTCGCAACACGGTCCAAAACATTTTTCCCCTAAGCCTGAAATATTGTCGTCGTTTTAATGTTTTAGCAGAAATAACGACTTAGATGTAAGTAAATAGCACATATTAGCTTTATTTACATCATAATTATTAAATTAGAATTGAAACTTGACAGTGTGGTATTCATATTTATTAAAGATAAACAGTTTTGGACCTGATAGGGATTACTTTTCAAGGTTCCGTGAACTATTCCGTGTTCTGACACCTTCGCAGCCGGAGTAAAACCGTTTATCTTCAGAAAATAATGCTATGTATACTAAATTAAACTTCGCGTTTCATTATGTACTCGTATGTGTACGTACATAGGGCAATTAACAAATTAATTCGATCAGGTTGCACTGGCTGTGGTCACAGTCGCAGTGGCTTGGTGCACCAGCACGCCATCTGTCGTCAAATCCGGGATGCAGAAAATTCTACATCCAACTCACTCATTTTTAAATATCTTTGAATTTTTTTTACCATCTGCCATTGATATTACAATTTGGTCAAAACGTCAGTCAACGCAAAGAAATGCAATGCATGTAATGTCTAGAGACATTTAGGTATACATCAATAATGTTATTCTAAGTTATGTAATTGTGGCGACGCCCACATAGAAAGAAACAGAAACATACTACAGCGCCATCTAATGAAGACACACCGAACTACGGAGTAACTACTAAAATAAGAATTGCTAATCCTGTATCGCGATATAAAGAATTCCCTCGCCGATTAGCATAATGTATACAATATCCCAACATCAACCGTTGGGCCGCGGCCCGCCAGGCATGATCACCTCGCCTGGTCGGAGGATCCTCCCTTTGTGTTGGAGGGACATGACACCCGTTCCTCCACAGTGGTGACCCCGACGTGATTGGAAGCAGCCTTCAAAAGGAGCAGATCATCAGCAGCACCATCGTGTACACTCCCACAGCGATGAGCAGTAATCAAGTCTCAGCCAGCCAGCAACCTCGGCCTCTACAGGGATACCACACGCAGGTAGCGACCGCTCCAGCCTGGTTACCTCTACGGCCTCATCAGCGTCTAGGCACAGCACACTGCACCTACGGTCCACGTAAAAAGAGCATTTTCTCTCCCGTCTAGCCAGCCAGCCACTACGCAGCAACCGCCCCGACTCACTGGGGACTTCACCGCAGCACCGTGCACCGCACGCCATCCCGACTCACTGGGATCAGCGGACTTCAGCCCCGTCTCACTGGGGCTAGCGGCACTCAGTTCCGACCCACTGGAACTAGCGGCACTCAGTTCCGACTCACTGGAACTACTCACTACTGGCACTGGCACGCTCCACAACAGAGCATAGACAGCTGACTCATCATATATCGACCTTCGGTCTTGGAGGGGAGTGATGTGGCGACTCCCACATACAAAGAAACAGAAACATACTACAGCGCCATCTAATGAAGACACACCGAACTACGGAGTAACTACTAAAATAAGAATTGCTAATCCTGTATCGCGATATAAAGAATTCCCTCGCCGATTAGCATATATACAATATCCCAACATCAACCGTTAGGCCGCGGCCCGCCAGGCATGATCACCTCGCCTGGTCGGAGGATCCTCCCTTTGTGTTGGAGGGACATGACATCCGTTCCTCCACATAATAATACCTCTTCTTTTGAAGCACATAGTATTATATCATAGTGTATATTAAAAAAATTAAGAAAAAAAAAAGAGTAAAAAAATATAATTCAAGGGTCAAAACTATTTTCAATTCATATTGCATCCATACGGTGATTCCCTTACTACCGCCGGAACTGTGGAATAAAATGTTACAGTGCGAGTGCCGAGAAAAATGCGCGTTTCTACCGGCCGTCACGACACCTCATCAGACCAACGTAAAGTCATTCTTAAGGTAGCAAAATTTTTGGTTGAAGACCCGGAACTTTAGTTTGCGCTTTTAGAGAGACAATTCGATAGGTTCATCAAGTTAGTTATGTTTCATCAGGCGACACACGGTATCACGAGATTCTAGGTAAGTTTCCCGAAATTACTCGCCCTTCAGACACACCGAACGACGGAGTAACTACAGAATGAGAATTCTCTCGCCGATTAGCATATACATACAACTTCCCAATATCCAATATGGCAGGCATGGTCACCTCGCCTGGTCGGAGGATCCTCAATATGTGTTGGCGGGACATGACACCCGTTCCTCCACAAACTCTTAATTCTGAAACTTGAGGTTCTGATGTTGCATGATTATATGATGTAACACACAGTAATACACTCTTAACGAGTTTTATGTCATGTAATTGTACAAGCAATATGTGTATAAATAACAATAAGATAAGAGATAACATCAGTTATGAAGTGTTTTGTAATGTTTGAACAGAGTAGATAATATTCTGCAGGCACATAATTTCAACTAAATTATTTTTTGTTTCAAACCATGCTAGACCGTTTAATGCTCCTGTCCATTAGGTGGTCAAGCCGTCTGACTTGATGGTATCTCATCCAATCCTCAAAATTAGTTTGTGTTGACGCTAATGGATCGTTTTTTAATTTTCAATCTGCTTGCACGCCGCATTGAACGGATGTATTACATTTTTTTGCAGTGGTTAAGACTTTTCAACAGTTCGGTGCCTAGATTTACATTATTTTACCAGTACAGGCAGATTTTCTTCAAAGAAAATCTATTAGATCTACCGAACCTTACAAATGTTCCTCCTTTACCACATTTGGATTGCGGAAGCGTAATTTTTTCATTAGCCAATTGAATTAGAAATCTGATTACTAGTGAAATGTGGAAGCAGATGCAGGCTTTGTTAAATAATGCTTTGTTAAGTAGATATGGTTAGGATAATGAGCCTGATAGATGGCAAATTCTATCTCTTTTATTCAAGTATCTATTGGAATTTATCTCCAGTCTTTACGAGAAACTTGTCGAATATTACGAAGTCACAGTAATGTCAATGGTACGAGTAACAATAACGTCGGACTCGTAATTTTTTTTAATGGAAGAGACGGCAAACTCGCTGACAGGTCACCCGATGGAAAGTGACCATCGCTGCTCATAAACGCCTGCAACGGAGTCACAAACGCGTTGCCGGCTTTTTAGGACGGAGTAAATACGCTCTTCTCTTGAAGGTTTGATTTTTTCTTTTTCCACAGATTGGTTGAGCGAGGCAAAAAGTGAACAAAGCGCTTACTATTTCTGTTTGTATCATTGTGATCGAAATTGAGATTAAATGATAGGTTACCTGTCTATCATGTAGCTATTGGCACCGAGATGTTTCATCAATATCGTGATCTATCATCAATATGTTTTATTATATACTTTATTCTATTTATACTATGAGTCACTTTGAGTGGGTGTAAATCTGTTGTTGATAAGGAAGTGCTCTGACGCCACCAAACATTTGTTAACAAGAAAAATGATCCCAAACTAGGCAGAGCCTGTGCTATGGTAACCAGACTGCTGATAAACATACTTATATATTTTTAAATACATAAATATTATGGATAAATTACACATTATGTATAGTCTACACATACATATATACCTAAGCTTATCCTTATTTTGTATTTCTGGCATTCTATAACACATTTTATCCGTGGGAGAAACATGCTTCTGCCAGAATGAAGCCACAGCCTCCACAGAAAACATTGTTAAGCAATTATTCATTGCTTTTCACCGGGTTACCGGATGCCCCTACCCCCCAAATCTTTTGAGGGGGGGGGGGGGGAAGACAGTATTAAGTTGACCAAGCAGTTTTCAGTCTTTTCGGTTGCAGGTCGCCATAGATAATGGTAGTCACTTCCCATCAGGTGACCCCTCAGTTCCTTTGTCTCATAGACCATATAAATCAGCTGCACATCAGGTGATTATGATCAAGTTAGCCTTGCAATTCTCAAATTAAGCTTTAGGTACTAGAAAATAAAATCTTGTTTTAATTAACTAACTGTTACAGAATTTGGCTTCTTCAAAGGATTAAACTTACATATTTCACAACAACTTAAAATGTGTTAGTAAATTTGTTCCTTTTTAACATTAATTTTTATGCTTCATTGTTCTCCTGTCGAGATATGTTTACGTTTTTTTTTTAAATAATAAATCAAGTAAATTTAGTTATTTAAATCATAAATTATTATATGCAATTATTAAATGAATTATTTTTTGTTTGTTTGAATAGTTTCTTTGTAATTAAAAAAATAACTGTACTGTTAATAAAGACTCGAAATTAAAAAATGAAGAATAACCCACACATCGCATCAATTTGAATGTCAATATTGATCTATATGTTGCGAAATCTCCACGTGGATAAGCATGAGCAACTGACTTATTATATCTAAAATAATTTATCTGGCTATCATGATTTGTAGGTATAACACATCTCTACGAATGATAAATTATGACGTTTTGTACTTGCACTTATATTATTTTATTCATATATTAAAAATAGCATATGGTACGAGTATCTACGTATCAGAAACACGTCACGTTTCGAAGGTGGCCTAGATCTTTCTGAACTCCTAAATTATTGACCAAGTTTGGGTGTGACCGTTTGAAATTGGCGTTGATGGTATTGTGATAAACAGAAAAATATAACAGAAAAATGTAACAGACAGATGTACTTGTATTTAATTGAAATATATAGACAGGTATAAGCGATACAGACGATGAAGACCTGATTCTTTATTAGAATTCTGTACATTCCTATTTATACTTAATATTAAATGATATTTACCGGAAAAACTCTCAAACCTTGCCGTGCAAGTGCTTAAAAAATAGTGATGATTAAATAGAAACATTATGATTTTGAAGAGAAGTCATTTAAGCTGAATAAAAACACATATTGTGTAAAGTTTTTTTTTTAAATAGTATTGTCGCAAACGAGCGGACGGGTTCCCCGGGTCATAATATAATGAAATTATTAATTTAATTACTGTGATTTCACCTGTGATAAATCACTGATGTGATTTGGTCATAGACAAAGATAAATGCCACCAAAACTTAAAACCAAATATATTAAATTTTCTGTTGTCAAAGACTACTACTACTTTTTTTTTTATTTAGACCTTTCGCGAGTTTGGCGCCAGCGTAATCGTAATCATAATCATAATTCGCAGAGGACTTGTAAGATTAGTCACAGCTGTGATTATTTGATTGTTAAATCATATGATTTATCATAGATGATATTGATTTTATTCAATCCCTGCCATGGAAGCCTACAATTTAAGAGACACAAGTGCCGCCCCTTGAGTCCCTCTCCCCTAATTCTCGGTGTTCTAGGCTGCGGTAACCTCACTCACTCGGTGAAAAGCAAAGAAGGAATAGCTTAACAACGGTTTTCTGCGAGGCTGTGGTATCACACGAGCCGGGCCCATTTGTGTCAAAGCATGGCTCTCCCACTGTTAACTTTTGTATTGTTAACAAAAAATCAGAAGTAAAAACTCTGTGGGTCGAAATTTCTTAGTGATCCAACACATAAGAGAAAAGGTAGAAAAGTTCTGGTGAGAAGACCGTAGTGTAGGACATTCTGTAGGCACATGGAGTAAATAAGGGTAAAGAATCAAGTTCAGTTTGTCCTATGTCCAAAAGTAGAAAATTAAAAACTGAATATAATAATATCTTCAGATGAATATAACGGCATAACAACAATGTTTTAGTAACCAATTTTGTCAGTTACGTATACTAATGAAAAACATAATCTTTGAGTCTTAATATTCAGGATGTACACTAAAGTGAGCAAATCTTCACCAAACATCCACATGGGCACGATTTGGTACGTTTTTAAAGCGATCTAATCAAAAGTACAAACATTTAAGAGCAAATATTAAGCTTCCGTGATACATGATTATGTTATAGCGGAATCGGTTCGTAGACGTCATCCTTAAGACAGGCTTTTATCATAGTCTATCACGTAATTCTGGTGAAATAGGCATAAAAAAATTGTTATGAAGGCAAGTCCTCACTACTTTCAAGCTCAAAATTGACATTACGGCCTTCCTAAAACAATTAATCAAAGAACGGGAATGTTTAACTTAGTATGAAAATCCTGGTTTTAGTCAGTTCATATTGGTTTGATTTATATCATAAGTCAGTATTTCTGGACTCCGTGTAAAGTTACCAGAAAAATGTTAAAACTGTTTTATTTTTCTTTCTGTTTGTTCGATTGTTAGACCGAAATAGTCAAAATTTAAGTAAGTAATTTAAAATTTAATTCTAGATATTCTTGACGTTTGATAAACAAATGCCGACAATATTTCAAATTTTTTTTTTTTTTTTTTTATATTTCAAATTTTAAAGGCAATTTTCTTTTTACCTTTTTTAAATTAAACTACTTTTCAGATGTCGACGACGCGGCGTTAAGCTCTAGATAATTTTTTTAGGGTTCCGTACCGTAAAATGACAAAAGACGGAACCCTTATCTCGTCTCAGGAAATCAAAATTTATTTTGTACTTCCCGTTGACCTAGAACTATGAAATTTGGCAAGCAACTTCTTGACATACTACTAGTTCAGGGAAAAATCTGAAAACTATACATTTGTAATTAATTTAAAAAAAATAGTAATTATTTAAAGTACGTAATCAATCATCGAGGTACAATTTCACTTATAAAACACAATAAGTAATTATAGGTTCTAGAAAGTTAATAACCTCGGTTTCTGAACTAATTATAATATGTACGGAATCCTCGGTGATTTTTTTTGAGGTTAATATAGGTAACCTTAGTCCTCCGCCCCGCCGAATAGAGAACCCCGGCGGGGTGAAAAAAAAAGGTAACCTTAGTCCTCGCCACGAAAAAATCGCGCCTCTGGCGCCCTCAGAGGGTATTAGCGGTTAGAGCCATACTCGGTTACCGCACCATGTCGACGGAGGCGGCGTGTGCGTTGGCCGAAAGTCCCCCATGGGACTTGGAGGCGGAAGTGCCTGCCGAAGCATATCGGCAGACGACTGAGTTCCGGGCGGTTAGCGGCAGTCGGTAAAACCCGCAACCCCGAACCAACAAAACATTTTAAACCCTGAGAGAGCCTTTTTTCGTCACATATAGGCCAAGCTCGACCGGAGTAATACCACGGCTTCACAGACAACCCGTGTTCAACAATTCTTTCTTTGTTTTCCACCGAGTGAGTATCGGAGTTATAACCCCTCCCTTCTAACTCTGCCACGAAGGGTAGCGACGCACTTGTACCTCTTGAGTTGTAGGTGTCTTTGGGAGGCAGTAGTCACTTACCATCTGGTGATCCGTCTCTTTGTTTGCCCCCTTTTTCTGTGCGGAAATCCCCTCGGACACCACCCACCGGTGGTTATGTCGGACTCGAACCGACTAAAAACCGCACGCCGTGTCGGGTACCAGTAGCCGGAGAACCAGGTGTACCCTAAGAAGGAGATTCCTGGTACGCTCGTTTGATCCCTATTTTTTTTTATGTTAGAGGGGGCAATCAGACCTGGTCACCTGATGAAAAGTGACCATCGCCGCACATGAGCGTCACAAACGCATTGCACGCCTTTTAGGAAGGAGTACGCTCTTTTTTCTTGAAGGTTGGAAGGTCCTATCGGTTCGGAAATACCGCAGACAATAACCCCACAGATTGGTTGTGCGGGGCAAAAAGTGTCTCGAAAAGCGCACAGTAGTGGAGCGCGAACTATCCAGGTGATGAGGATGAAAATTTTGCCGTGTGGAAGGATGGCGGAAATTTGCGGCTGGTATTAGTCCGAACAATTCCTCGGAGAGTGCTCTCAATGATATATGCGATAGAGAATGCAGAGTAAAGCCACATCTCTACGTAACGCCAAGGGATCGAGCCGATCGGAGATGTTTGGGCTATCGATCATTCTGGTCGCTCTTCGTTGGATGCGGCAATAAAAAAAAACATATTTGAAAAAAAAAATGTACAAAAAAATACATATTTCGGCAAAATAAACAACTTAAAACAATTTTCCGCACTAACGTAATCCTGGAATGCGAGGGAGTGGCCACACAACGGGCAAGTATCATATCTGATACAAAATCGCTCCTAGAAGCCTAGGTACGCCCGAGGAGGCCCAGAAGACAGGAGGAGCTTGGTTGGCTCACCTAGACAACCTTTCCTAGACCCATAAAGGACCATTCTTGAGTCTAAATGCGGAAACTAGAGGCCACACCAATACCAATACCAATTTTCAGCACTGGTTGGCAGGACAGCAACGGAGATTAAAAATATGGTATTCATAATACAAAACGAAGGTTCTGTCCTTCACGAGTCGTATTTAAATGATTTTGTTGTATATCATGTATACTAATATACATATTATGTTATGCGTGTTTAAGAAACATGACAGTTGACAACAATGGCAGCAGTTTTTGACGTCGATGCGATGTTTTGTGAGTAGCGTATTTAACTCTACTGGAGATCGCTTGGCGGTCAATATATGTACGTACGAATGTATTTGTTTGATTAAATTTGTAATTTGTATAATTTGTATGTAATTGTTTGTCAAATAAATGAAATGAAAATGAAAATATCGACCGATTTGAAAAGCTTGTTTTATTGCATCGACCAGTGTAACTTGAACTGTCATGTTATAGACTTTTGTACCATGACAAGTCTAAATATATATTTAGATGAAACCGGATTTTACATAACATTACCAGCATTTACCCGCGGCTCCGCCAGCGTGTATGTTGGTTATCGCGGTAAAAATGTCTACCTGCCAGTAGCCTATGTTTTTCCACAAGAATCAATGTTTCTCCATTCCATTTCAAATTTCATTAAAATCTGTTCAGCGGTTATTGATTTCCCATACAAACTTTCACCCTCTTTTCGCCCTTTTAAAGGGTGGTTTCTAAGATAAAAACTATCTCATGTCCTTTCCCGAGACTTAAACTATCGCTACAGCAAATTTCATCAAAATCCGTTCAACGGTTTAAGCGTGAAGAGTGACAGACAGACAGACACACTTTCGCATTGATAATATTGGTATGGATTGCACAATTTTAGGTTTCAGCACTTTTTTACAAAATTACCTACCTGTTTAGAATACTTATACATTAGGTAATTTTATATGATATGCTTCCGTGATCTATATGTATATTTGTTTAAAAACGATTACAAAGAATTTTCTTCAAGTACGAATAAATGGATAAGTCTTGAAACATAAAGTTTGATTTACAATTATTATGCATTCAAAATATGGTCATGTATAAATTACGTGTTGGTAGTGTAATAATAACACCAGTAACTCAATTTAAAGTCCAACCATAAAACATACTCGTACTAGTAAATATTAAGTGAATATTCGATCGATTCATAAAGTGCTAGCGAAGTTCGCTGTCTCGATAACGTGTGCTTATAAAAATAAGAATAAAACTTTATTAAGTAATTTAATGATACGCTGCCTATTCTTTCCCTTTATTTGCTAGAATGGTATATGGTAATTCTTCTCAACCGTGAAAAACTGATCAATCGAGAACCTGGACTTCTGGAATAGGGCAACAATGTTAGCAGTTAAGGTGTGCGATCGATGGATCTTTTGTAGATTGATGCTCTTTCCAGAATCGAGGCTTTCTTAATAGCACGAGAATCCTTCAATGAATGCCACAATTTTATTATAGTCTACAAGAATTATGGATGCAGTATTATTTAAATAAAGATGTTAAAAACTTACGTGGACATCGTATGCACCGATTGTGGAAGTGATTGGGTATGTAGCCATCAGCGCAATAGCACTTGCTTTTTATACATTCGTACTCTTCACCGATACAGTGGATTTCCTTGCAGATATCTGAAACTAATATACCTAGATAAGTTTCTAGTAAGTTTAAAAGCTTTTCTTCAAGATAAGTGCACTTATTGTAATCGTGGGGACAATTTAGTAATCAATATGGCGCCAGAAAGTGTATTGTGAGAATCTTCAATTACTATAAGTAATACATTTAAATATAGAGTAACTTGCTTGTTGATATAAACTTTTTCTCAATGAATTGTTCCTTGATAAAAAGTAGCCTATATACTATTCCAGATTGAAATGTATCTCTTGCAGATTTATACAGCCGTTCTACAATGATTGAGTGAGAAACATCCACACATCCATCTTCATCTTAACATTACATCAAATCAACAGTCTCTAATAGTCCACTGCTTAATATAGGCCTCTCCTTACAAAGGAGGTTCTGGCCTACTATACGACGCTGGCCAGATGGGTTGGTATAGGGCTTCTTTTTGCAGTGCTGCTGTACTGTGTAGTTTGCTCCTTTAAACGGCTCTTACGATACCCACGGGATGAATAGTTGCGCCGACACTCTACGGAGTGTCGCCACCCCTATTCATGTCGTGGGTTCTTCGTCTACATCTACTTTTATATTTATAATAATAATGGGATTAATGCATTGTCATTGCCAGTAATGCATTGTAGACCGCATTCTTAACTAAAGTAGCAACGGAGCGATTGACGGGATGACGATGAACAATTTTTGAAGAAGTATTGGTGACTCAGAAATCCTATGATTAATTTTCAGGGATCACGGGCACGAAGACAAAGAAGTAGGTGACAAAGAATCTAATAAAGATAGGGCGTGATAGTGATCCATAGAAGATCTCGTATACAAACTCCAAACGAATCCGGCACCAAAATCATCTATTCACATTGGATGATTTTGAGCGATTTATTGCAGTTAAGTTAGATTTGTTATCCTTAAAAATACTTTACATAGCAAGATCTAAAAGTGACTAAAATATTACATTTTAAAGAATTGCATGTGTTTATATTTAAATTGTTTAATCTACTTCTTGTCAGATTATCTCGACAAAGCAAAAGATTTATTGATTGATTCTGAATCAGTTTCTCGTCGAAATGTCCATTTACTAAATAAAACAAACCCTACTTTATATATTGAATAAAACGCACAGTGAACTTGTCACATCAAAATTGAAGTTGTAATAATAATATTTATTGGTGTAACGGAATTTAATCGGGTTAGAAAGGAATGAGGTAGACAGGTAGATGGGTGGTATTGAGGCCCAAATAACTGGCAGAACGTTCATTTGTACTAATATGTCCTATGACTATATGTGTATCATGAACGATATTGCCACCGGAGCTTAGTACATTATCCAGACTATAAAGAAAATATTCGAACCCTTGTTTGGAATAATTTGAGGAACAACGATAAACGGCAATTATAGGATGTTAGTTATTAATTTGGTGAGTTAGATGCCATTTACGAAATTATATTAGGCAGGTGTAGTGGATTGCAGTTTTTTGGTATAGGAGGCCAATTGAGCAGAAGAGTCACCCGGTGGAAAGTAAGACTGCAGGGATGGCGAAGTGGTTTAAGCGGTCGCCACTACGTACTACTACGCTGAGTGTTGTGGATCCGATCCCCACATGGGACGACACTTTGTGTTATCCATAAATTGTCGTTCTAAGTCTGGGTGTTCATTGTGTCCGTTTCATGTATGTTTGTAAAGTACCCCTTGATACCGGATATATACCTAATGCGGGAGTTGTCTTTTTAAAAAGAAAAAACCAGAAAGCTACTCCTGGTCACCTTTATACCAACACAAGTCACAACTACGTCATCGTCCTTTATGAGTCCTCCTACAGAGTTAGAGAGTTACTTCCTCACACTCAAACGGCCGGACCATAGAGGTAGCTCTGCTAATACCCTGGATTAACACCTAGCACATAATAGTGTATCTCATAAACCGCTAGTAAACCGCAGGACGCAGCTAGAATATTTGTAAATATACGTTATATAGATAAATTACGCCCAGACAAGTGATTGTGCTCGTCACACAATATTTGTCCTAGGTGGGAATCGAACCTACGACCTCTGGTCAGGATCGCTAACCAATAAACCTATTGAGTCTAAGTCAGAAATAACATTGTTAATAAATAACAATGCTATTTCTGACTCTAAATTATCGATTGTTGAAATAGTAAATTTTGAACTATAGGATGGTAGAGTTCATGAGATGCGCTCACTGAACCTATTTTCTAATTGATCTTAGACACTTAATAAGGTGTTTTATTTCTGCCAAGTCAATTAATAAGCTTATGTTAGTTTTGTTCAAGGACACAACTAATTAATAATGTCAATCGTGGAGATATGTTGGGTCTTGCTCTCATTGCTCTCGAGTGTACAACACTCATTAGTAAAGAAAGGAGCGGTTCTTATAATAAGATATTAGTTGACAACGTAAGTCAACAATTGCTATAAAGTTAATTAGTCTAGTAACGTGTCTGACAAACACACATAAACTTTTCTATATATTCCTGTGCGGGCAACCCTTACAAAGAAACACTGAGAATGAATTCTCTACAGTGTCTAAGATTTTAAACTCACAGCGGATACTACAAAAAATTTTGGCCTGGATATACATCATTCGAGCGTTATTTTTAAGATATTTACTTATGGACCTAAAGCGCAATAATTCTGTTCCGTCTATGGTTATAAGCCAACTGACATCTAATTATGATTATATCTATGGGACGAATCCCTCCCAGACCACCACTACTGTAACTCCTGTACATCAGGATCAACAGAAGTGACATACGATCACATCGAGTTATAATACTCACGTTCCGTGTCGTGACGGATTAAGAATACAGAGTGTCACCATCCCTATTCATCCCGTGGGTGTCGTAAGAGCTGACTAAGGGAGAAAACTACGCAGAACAAAAGCACTACAGAGAGAAGGAAAACTTGACACAAACCCTATACCAACCCGTCTGGATGAAAGGCTGTTGATGATGATGATGATGATATAATACTCAGGAAGTCCCAGGAAAAGTTAACCTGTCTTGGATCCCACAACGAAATCACTTGTCACTTATAAGAATTCTAAGACATCGACTCCGTTTTTGCACTGGTAATTTTCTCTACTGTACATGCTCTTGATTGAAATATACCATGGATGCACCATTATGGTTGATTAAAAAGCAACTTATATAGTTTAGGACTATGCTCAGAAAAAAAAAAAAACAGATATGTATGCAGTAACACGCTAACATATTACCTTCATTGTCACTATTAGGTTGAGCACTCACTAACACAAGTAAACCACAAATCATAGACCACTTTGGCATATTTAAATCCTTGCTACAGCTCATAGCATTCTCAAAACAAAATATTTTTATATTTTATCACACTGCATTAGCGCGACACGACCATTGTGTACATTTTTGACATTAAAAATAAGGCATGGTGATATGTTATCACAAATCTACGCTTGTAGCGATATATGCTTATCGCAGTCGCGTCATTCATTAGAGCAAATAGTGGGCCATTAATGTGTAATGATTTGCATTTAGCCTTCTTATTTATTCTTTACCAGACAATGGCAAAGTCTACGTCATCGATTTGACCAAAGATATTGATTTTTTTTCTTAATTTATTTGTACTAGATATCGTGTGGTTCTCAAACTAAGAGCATATTCCATGTTGTAGATTTCATTGACCACTATAATTTGAACTGTGGTTCTGTGTGGTGAATACGGAGTGTCACCACCCCCCTTCACCTCGAGGGTGCCGACTAGGAGAACATACTACGCACGACAACAGCACTGCAAAGGGCCAAAACCTCCTTTCTAAGAAGAGGCCTTTGTCCAGCAGTCGACTGTTAAAGACTGTTGATGATGGTGTTGATGTGGTTTTGTAGATTACCTTACTATAAATGGTCAACTTATATGTTTCGCTTAATGCAGAATTGCAAAATGTTTTGTTTACCTCCCATGCCTAAATTTTGAGTAACCACCCCAAATATCATGGATTTGACCACCCTAAATAAAATGCATAAAAAGAATTAAAATTATTTATTTCGGACTAAATACATAATAAATTAATATATATATATAATTATTAATATATATATATTAATATATATATATCAATTTAAAGAATATAATAAGGAAACATTCCTATTATATTATTTTCATATCTTAAAAAAATATAAAGTTATTTATTTTTCAGAAATATACTATCCATTATTGTAAATATTTACGCTGTCAGTCAGGTACAGAACTCATCTTTTTTTTAAACCTGTTTGTGTATTAAGTAGTAAGTAAGCTATAAATAAAATAAAATAGAAATTAAAATGTCCCTTTGTTGCTGGATCATAATATAACTCTATGAGAAATATCAAAATATAGACCTTATTGTAAGATATTTTAGTACTTTTATCGGTTACGACCTGTTACGAGTATAATGGAGTTAATACAGTGCAATGGATCCACCTCAATTGTTTTACCACCCGACTGCCAAGTAAGGGTTACGCTTTTCGCGCGTATGTTTGTTTGTAAAAAAAATATTACCTCGTATCTTCCAAATCATGAAAATTAAAAGGGGATACCAAAAATATATATACACCTATTTCTTAGGGTTCCGTGCGGGTGCCGGGTCTATCGCGTGATAGATGGGGGCAACACATGCGACTTCGACAGCGCCTCGGAATTGCGACCCAGGAATAGGTTTAGGGAGTGCTCACCTTCAAGCAGGTTATAGAGGGTTTTAGCTGGTATACTCCTCGCACCCACTTTCACGGCATACAACGAAATAACCATTTTTAGTTATTTCGTTGAGTCAAAGCACTTGTTTCTTTTTTAAAGCGTGGTCTTTAAGGTTGTACGTTTCCCACGGCACCGTGAGTTCTACTAGTACCTGCTAAACGCTTTATTAACATTGCATAAAGAAATATGTCTGGTCTGGACGCCGAGGCCCAGATATCTGCCGGCATTCTGTAGTGATTTTCATACGTGTCCACTAATAATGTTCAGTCACTGGCGGTATTTATAATTAAGTAGGGCTTTTGTGAAATCTTTTTTGTTGAGCCTTCCTTTACAAACTCGATGTTAGTTCTTATGTTTGTTGTTATTCCTTTTTGTACTGGTGTAATTTGTAATACCCTTTCATCAATATCATATCGTGAATAATGATCCCGGTCTAATAGCGCCTTCAACCTGCCAGTAAGTGCCTGGCAGTACCTTTTTCCGCACTGCAGATCGTACAAGCCTTTTCTGTAGCTTTTCCTACCTTACTAGGTTCCTTTAATCGAAGAGAGTTAATTTAAAAGTGTAGAGGTAAAATTTTAATTGCCTTATTTAACCAATCGTATAATTAACCATAGAATTAACTCCTAGAATTAACCATTCATTCTCGCGGTAGGTCTCGTTTTCATCTTGTTGTAGGAAATATTTTATTATCTCTTTGTCGGTCTGTCTTCTAGCATTTCCCAATCCAACTCTACTAGTCTGCGTGACCAAATTCATGATGGGTACCAACCATGAATTTGCGATATTGTCTATTAATTACTACTGTATTAAATATACTACTGGTGATAAGCAGCAACCTTGGAACAATGCTACTCTGTATTCGAGGGGTTTTGTATGTCCCTCTTTTGTTGTGATTACAAATTTTTATTTACTGTAGGATGATGCAATTATTTCACAAACTATTGGCGGGAAGTTATACTATTTCACGGCTAATAACATGAGCTCGTGTCGTACTGAGCCAAAGGCGTTTTCTAAAACTATCCAACAGTCTGTAATTTGCCTTTCATTTTTCCTAGCATTTTTGAGACTTTCCGCAAGTAATGAGTTATGTTCCAGACATCCAGAGATTTCGGCCATAAACCATTTCTGGTAATTTGTACTGAAGTAATTATTGTTTGACATAAACTGTATGTATTATATATGTAAATTAAATAAGAAATAAGAAAGTGGTTTAATATTTTTTGACAGCGTAATAAATCCTTTAAAAAAAATAGTTGAACCGACTTCAAACAATACTAACAAAGAGCACTAAAACCTAGCAGCAATTGCTGTTAATTTGCTGTCATTTTTTTGAAGAGTGTGGTTGCCTGTTTCCGAAACTTATCATCAGATCTATTTAAAATTGAAATGGGACCATTTCGAATAAACTCCTTTCGAACAAAAAAAATTGAAAGTCCGTCTATAAGTATATGAAGGAGTTACGCCCGAACATACTTAACTAACTTTAACTTAAATATATATTTATATACATCTAAATCGATAACCTCCTCCTTTTTGACGTCGGTTAAAAATAGGCCACGTTTTTGTCAGACCTCGTGCCGTGCAGTGCAAACAACTTTAAAATTGTCGTTTTACAGTCTTATTAGTTTGAAAGCCCGTTTATACGGATTACATTGACAGGCTCGTGGCGAGTTAAAACATTGTAATTTTGTTTTGTTATGACCGTTTCGAAATATTATGACCACTAGGCAACTCTACAAAGAAGATACAACCAACGAAGTTTATTTGCCAACATTACTTATCGTCAAGAAAACTTTTATTACATAGATTACACGCAGGCAGTTATAAAAAAGGTTTTTACTATTGGCAATGGATGTAGATCATCAATTTCCAGCACAAAAAGATCTTAGCTATTTGCAGAATTTATTGTAGAATAAATCGTACAATTTGTAACATTATTTATTTATTTATTTATAAATATACACACACAAACTTACAGGTTACATCTTTAAACATCCATATTAATATGTTTTAAAATTAAAAGAATCAAGCATCTGAAGTCGAACTAGGCGAAGCCTGTATTTCGACTATCAGCGCCAACTCCCCAATTGCACATTAAGCCTTACTATTATATATTGTATGTATGCTATACAATATAAAATCAATCTAGTCTGTGCCACATATTTAATCAACTCTTTTTTGCACTGTGTGCCCGTTTGCGGATAAATATTGAGAACTTTATTGATTTTATTATATAAATGGGGACCGTTAAAGTCAGCAAAATGTCTGCTAAATTTAGTTTTGCACCCCGACGGAAATTCACACACCATATATTTTCTACGTCTCCTTAACAACTGTGGATTATTTTATTGTGTTGTAGCATTATAATCTTCAAAATATACAATTGTCTTACGGTTAGAACTTCGCACAGTTCATAAAGTGCAGCAGTAGGATAGAAAATGATTTTATTATTGCAAACCTTGAGTACTGCTCTCTGGGCAACTTCAACGGACTTCATTACGGTTTTATATGTGCCTCCCCATGAGGTAATACAATATGTTAGGAGCGACTGACATAGCACATAATATATTTGCTTTCACCAACAGCGGTTCTGCTACTGATCTCAAGTTCTTAAAGACATAAATGAGTTTACGTGTTTTGGCGCACAAGTGCTTGATGTGCTCTTTAAAGTTTAGATTACTGTCTATTATAACACCCAAGTACTTTATCACCAAGTACATTATAAACCTTCACTTTGATTACCAGGACGACTTTGACATTATGAATTAAAACTTAATAAATGTATTGTTTTGATCTGATGTGATGTATTGTTTTTTTTTAAATAATAAGTTCACTGATAACGTTCTAAAAATCATGTTTTGTGTGTGTGTGTGTGTGTGTGTGTGTGTGTGTGTGTGTGTGTAAGTAATACAATAACGAGTGAGCTGTATATTTATATTTTTATAATTAAGGCTAGTTTTAAGATACAATATTATGTAACTGTTTGTTATTCTTAAGTATATAAATATATACCCTAATTAGTATAGTAAGTTTTCCGTGTGTGACGAATTAAGAATACGGCGGGTCACCACCCCTATTCAGCCCGTCGTCGTCGATGTCGTTAGAACCGACTAAGGGAGCAAACTACGCAAGTCAACAGTAGTGCAAAGAGAAGGAAAACTTGAAACAAACTCTATACCAACCCGTCAGGCCAGCGTGGTAAAGTAGACCTCCTGAAAGGCTGTTGATGAGAACAGTAAAACATAATCACAACGTAATCACTCCTAACTTTCAAAATATTACTAATACTGTGGGGAAAAATCTGAATATTATTTAGGTAATTGCATTTGTTGTCTTCGAACTTTTCCAATGGTTGTTCTAATCGATATTGAATAGGATTTGGTACTCTTCAGATTTGCGATTAGATTAGATTGGACGCGGCAGGCGGGGGAGCGTGGGATATTTCGCACGTTGGGAGAGGGCTTAGTTCAGCAGGCAACAATAATGCTATACAATATTCTGATTTATTGGGATTTGCGAGGAAGGAAACCACAAGTTTCACGGTTAAGGGTACACGAGAAATAAAAGTATAATGCAGCTATATATCTCCACTAAAACTTAAT